TTCCAGAATATCGTTCTTTTTGTCTGCAGTGTAAGCACAGCTGTTATTTTTGCACCCTGAAAAAAAAGATCATCATCATAGAATGGATTGATTACGTGTCTAACACACTCTAGCCTTTCGCCTCTCTACATTATTTATTAATTCTACTGATAGTTGAGACGAAAGTTGTTGTTCACACTGTAAAGTTTGCTGTTCACTTTCTTGCTGCCCTTTATACACTGTTATCGATGTTCTTTCACTGATCGATGGAGCTATTTGTTCTCCATTCTCTTTCATAGCTTGTCCAATATCCTTGATTATCGTTGACGTTCGCGCTGACTTTTGATAATTGTCTAATGTTTGAGCGAAAGTATGAATATAATCAGTTTTTATTCCAATATTTGATAGCCACGATAAATCCCCAGCTGTGTAGAGTGGTAATTTACATTTTTGGTGTTGTTGGTTTTCCTCGTTATTCTAAGCGGAAATAGAAGAATAGAATTTAATACAAAAACGTTGCAATTCTATTTACTTTTGATTGACCTACCTTGATAACATAAGTTTGTGTTGATTTTATGTGCATTAAGTTATTATCAGTACTCATTTCTTCACCTAAAATTAAGGCTACATTTCCTGTTTGAACAGTTTCTTTAATAGCGATACCAGTACTAATTGAGCTAGTTGGTGGTTTGCAAGATATAAGCGTATCGTTCATTGTTATCAGTGCATTTGAAACTAATTCTGGACTAAGAACTATTCCTTCATTCTTATTCTCATCTTTAGTAATAATTGTATCATTTGATTTATCTTTCGAAGATTGTGATTTGATTATTTTACGTTTTGAATAGCGAACAGGTGTGAATGTTTTCCGACAATAAAAAGAACGTTTAAGCTTTGATTTTGATACAGGTGAACGAAGTTGTCTAGCGGGACTAGAATTTTTGAGTGAATCTCGTGAGCGTGATAAGAACGATCTAGAACTTTTGTTCTTCGTCATTTCTTCTAGATTTTGAGTCTCTTTAAAAGAAGAAGGTGAAGATAATGGTGATGGTGGCGGTAATTGTTGAATTTCTTCTTTATCAAATGATTCTAATATTTTATTAAATTCAGCATAACACGGTGACGTCATTGGTGAAACGAAATCCTAAAAGTAAAAATAATCATCGAATGATTCGCGCAAAACTAATACATAAAATGACCATCTCTTTTTATAGCTCAAAACTCTAACACATAGTAATGTAGATAAACACATCCACTACAGATCTTCAATTCATTTTAACGTACCAATGTACCATTCATTCTCCATTTAGAATTCTTACCTGTATGAAACTATTATAAGATGAATCGTTATCCTCATCTTGTTTATTCATTTGATCATTAATAGTTGATTGCTGTTCACGAACAGGGGATGAAGGATGTTGCGGTGGTGCGCAATAATTCACTATTTGAATATCGTCATCTTCTTCATTAATCATTATATAATCATCATTTACTTCTGATTTTTCTAGATCTCTATTTACAATACTAGCTGATTTATCTGGAAACACGATAATATCATACAAATGTTCGTCTAATTGATGATTGACTAAGACAGCATCGATATTCGACATTTGCTTCGTACCAAATGATCTCGAAATGATTTCCGGTGGAAGTTCTAAAACATTCAATCGGCATATCTTTTAATTCCGTGCTCTAATTTTTGTCATGCTGAATCATACCTAACGACCAACCGCTACCGTTAGATTTAATAGAATTTCGATGTAGCAGAATATGTCGATCATTCACTTTGATACAGTAATATTGTTTCGATTGTAAACAACTCCGTACGAGTTCAAAACGATTAAACGCTAATGAATGGGCTAAAAAGTAAAAAGAACATACCATATAACAGCACTTTAAGCCACCGTTGTAAACATACTGTCAGCCATTGTACGATGATTATCAAATTTGACTATAATAATAAAAAGAAACAGATTTTTATTTACTGCCGTGTAATAAAAAACTAAGCTGGTTTTTGTTTTTCAGTATGGTTTTGTACTAATTTACGATTAATCATTATTGAAGAGAAGGATTTAAAATTTAAGTTATTTCCTAATCTAGCGCTGAAGGGAACGAATTTTAAATAGGTAGAAAAATGTAATAATTAAAATCGACTTATTCGCTTCTTTTATTCAATCTTTCATCACTTACCAGTTGGAGTATCTGGTGATATTTTATAAGTTTCCGTACAACACGCCTAAATCACATGAGAACTACGAGCAATAAATATACTAAGAAAAATATTTGTTCATACTCGACATAAATTTAGATCTGACTGCTCTTGATCAGCACTATTGTACTCACTAACACAGTCAAGATGGTAGAGTAGCGAACAAGAAATGCATTTCAGAGTTGGCATAGTACCACTACTACTCAGACACAATGTTGAACAGGAACTCATTTTGTTTAAGATCTAAAACAGAAAATATAATGAGAACATAAGCAAAGCTATTCTGAACTAAGAACAACGAATATTCGAAAATAATGCAGAGAGGCGAAAGGCTAGAGTGTGTTAGACACGTAATCAATCCATTCTATGATGATGATCTTTTTTTTCAGGGTGCAAAAATAACAGCTGTGCTTACACTGCAGACAAAAAGAACGATATTCTGGAA